AAAAATGTTAACACGCCAACTTCTAAAGATCTTGAAATTGCAGCAGCAGGAGTTTGGGCTTACCATATCGTTCAAGAAATTTTGTTTAAGATAATTTTCAAGTATTTCTGGTATGATTAAAACTATTCAAAAGTGGAAATCTAACAAAAATGTTCCAGTTCATTTAGGCAAGGGATTATATCTCATGCCTCATAAAGATGGAAAATACAAGGTTGAGAAGGGGGCTGGCTTATACCTCACTCCGTATAAAGGCGGATCGTAAAAGAAAAATATAAAAAAAATGTCTAAAAACTAATAGCTACGTTACCCGATAGAGCGTTATATGATTATGAGATTATAAAGTATGCGCATATGTTAAAAATACCGCAGTTCATTGGCGTATTTTCTAGAGATAGATTGCCTAAGCATTCAAAGAATATAGAGTGGGCAGTTATTAATCTAGATATCGAAAATAATACAAGAACTCATTGGGTGGGGTACAGAAAAATCGGACAACAGATTAGCTATTATGGTAGTTTTGGTAATTTACCACCGCCTCTAGAATTACAAAAGTATTTCTCCAGATATGAAATTAAATACAATTACAACAGACATCAGCAGTATAATACAACAAATTTCGGCCACTTGTGTTTAACATTTTTATCATGTATACAATAACTCTCAACGGTAATTCTGCAGATTTATCTTGTGATTTTTTCCCTAACATCGAAGTTGGAAAAAACGCTAGAGTCTGTTTTCTAGCCTTTCAAACAAACAATTCAATTCCAAACATAGATAGCAGAAATAATCAAATAGCCGTTTTACTAAAATAGTTTACTGGACATAGTGTAAAAACTTTCCAAAAATTATTTGTTAAATACATAGACGTACCTATAAATTAATACTCACGACTCACTTATTACCAGGGCTTAAAAACGTTATAATAACAAATTTTATTTGACAAAAAAACGATTGAAATTTGTAAACGTAATTACGGAAAACGATAAACATGAATAATTAAATAACATAAAACAAAACATAACGATTAACAAAATATATGATGTATCATTAAACAAAACGTTATATATACATCGGCGTAACTAGGGGGGTCTAGGGGGAGGCTTAGCCCCCTGTATTTGTATTCAGCCCCTTAGAAGGTTTTACTTTTTAGCCTCAATTAGCCTTCAAATTATTTTTAACTTTGGTTTTCTACGACTCTAAGCCCTATAACTATTAGATCCTAGTTACACCCATGTATATATTGTTTATAATTAAACGTAGTAATTTCCAATTATTAAATAGTTTTAAATTAAATTGCTGGTTTCTTGGAAATATTCATTCTGCTCGATTTATTTTTACTCAATTTAAGAATTAATTATATTCCGTATCCGTGCCATTCCCACATAAAAAATAAAATAATAATAATTAATTTTTATACTTATTATTTTCTTATTAAGTCCTAAAATAAAGGTCATAGTCTTATACTACTATGTAAGTTGCACCCTGTGTACTTTTGAAACAGGTACATACGTAAAAGCGTTTTGAATTTTAATTTTAAAAAACGATAAACGCAAAAGTTGTACAACGTTTTAACTGTAAATAACGTATAACAAAATTTTTTTCCAAATTCAAGCCTATTCGAGTATGCTAGCTACTATATAAAGATGATTGTAATTATTATTTACCTATTTATAATTTCATTCTGCAGTGAAAATTTCTTCCAAACTGCGGCCCAAGATTTTTTAGGTTACTAATTAGTAGTTATAGTGACCCAGGTTATTCATTCTGAACTTAATTTTCCTTCCAATAGGTACTAAGAATATTATAATTAATATAAATTACATTTTGTACTTGTCCACTTATGATACAAAAAATAAGTCAACTGGAAAATTAATTGTACTTATTGTAGGAGGTCTGTTATTGTTCAATGTTATAAATCAGGGCTGGCAAACCTTTTGAACACTGTGTGCCCAAAATTACCTTTTTTTTTTATATATATATATATATATATAGAGCATGCCATTAAAAAAATATTAAAAATATTATATTTTGTTATATTATAATTTGTTTGTATAATTAATGTATTAGTATAAAAAGGTTAGTTTAGGTACATAATAATAATAATAATAATTATAATAATATTTCTTTGTAAATTATTTATATTATATTATATTATAGGTCCTATAATATTATATATTATATAATATATAATAGTAAAACTTTTCGCGTGCCATGGATTTGCCATCCCTGTTATAAATTATAATGTTGTTATTTTTATATTCCTATTTTCCTCACAAACCATTGCATACATAAAAATTGTCTACTCATTTATAATTGTATAACTGTCCAAAAACTCAATTTATTTTTATGTTTCCAAAAATCTAACTCCAAAACTAAATCCTTTAATACTAGCCCCATCTAGATAAAATCTTCAAGGATCAACGCAGATGCGTCCCTAGATGATCTTCCAATTAGTTGTTTCATGCCAACCGTTTGATCGTTAATTTTAGTTACTAGTAATCTAGTCAACGCTTGGATGTAGGTGTAGTGGAGAAATAATAAATACTCTTTAAGATAAATTAGTTTATTAAACTATTAAAAATTATCCTAAGTACAATAAATTTAAGTTAGTTGTAAATATTCTAAGTCCAAATATTTAAACTATAGAAAATATTCTAAGTCCTAACAATTATACTTTATAAAAAAAGTTCAAAATATTTCCAAGTCCAGACCATGACATACACTGACATGAAGGTGCTCAGTGCCGCATAGCCAAAACTCGTCTGATTTTCCCTTGTTTTCGGGTCCCTTTTATATCCGATATATGTAAGTGTGTATGTAAATCCCAAGTGTGTGTGTTTATATGAAAGTGATAATAAAAATATGATATTTCTTTATTGATTATGAATGTGTGTGTGCTATCTCCCGGCCAGCCCATAATTACTGACGCAGATGTCCAGGATGTTGTCACTATTGTTTCGATTAACTATTTTATTTCAATTTCCCATAAAAACGTTTATGTAAACCATTTCACTTGTCCACGCTTGTGATTTCGATATTCTAGAGCTCCCTTATTGTAATTTGCAGTATAATAGCCATGTGAACATAATAATCTAACTTATCCATAGTTGTGGTTTTTGATGTTCATGGGAACCCCTTATAATGTATTTTTTATTACGTGACTACGCAGGACGCGACAATATTATTTTTGTGGCATTTAGATTAGGAGATTTTAAATGTTCATCATTAAATCAGAGAACGCATTAATATGATAGTTTTAAAAATTAGAAAAAATACAATTTAATTTTCCAATGCTGTTATCAATTTTTATTACATTTTATTTTTTTATCAAGATGATAAAATAAATATTAATTTAAATAAAATCTGTTTTATAGATAAATTTTTCGTTATTTAAGGGACCATTTTCACCATCAATCAATTGTATGAGTTGGGGGCAGTTGTCCGAAAAATGATAAGGACCTGAATTGAAATATGGCGGCATAAAATGTGTTGCCAATACAAAATTTCTAAAAATAATATTGTAAAATTATTTTTTTGTTTAAGAAGTTATACTGTTTCACTTGAATGATAATTATTATATTTTTTGATAATAATAACATAATTAATTACATATAAAATAAACATAGGTATCAATTATATGATATACCTCAGATGTATAAAAACTTTTTTGCTTTTATATAATTTTAATAGTTACGCATATAAGCGGATAGACAGGCATCCAGTTTAGTCATGGCTTGCGGTTCATTTTACATGATATGAGTATATTACAATAAAACGATTACATTTTCAGAACTTTTCTCGGCGTTTGCGAAATTTGATTTCCTTATAGCGCCGGCTGTCGTCACATTTATATTACTTCGTTTCCGCCCGACAACGGACGAATTTTTTGTTTACCACGTAGAGACAGGTAAATTCTTTTAAATTAACTCGTCAGTGTTAGTGTATTTTTTTTACCTTTAGGTTACTTGAACATTTATGTTTTTGTGTGTGTTTTACATACTTTGCGTTCATAATTGATCCAATTTTTTTATTCCCCTCAGAGCGATTAATGGTTTTTTTTTATAAAAAATTGAAAACCAAGTGACTTAAATAAACAGCTAATTAACTATTCATTGCCAATATTGCCATTTAAGTTGGTATACACAAGAAATAATATGCTTTTTTTCTATCGCCAAAAACTGAACATCTTATTTTATAATATGTTATTGTTATACATTTAGAACATTTGAAAACCATAGTACATAAAGGCATCAGGTATACACGGATCTCATTTATGTAGGAAGCATTTGGTCAGGGATAGATTTATCTTTTTTTGGTAATATTGCTTATCGTAATGAAATACTAAGCGTCCTTCAAAAAATTCATTTTAAAATATGTGAAATTTGTTTTTTATTAAAATATGAATTTTTGCTAAGAAAAAGGCCCCTTTGGGGCAGTTTTCAATACTTTAGAACCTGGTTAGTTATAAGCCTAGGTTCCTAAGCTCCATGCTTAATCTAACCCTGTTTAAGTTTAATTTATTTTATAATTAAAACTATAAAATAATAATATATTTATTGTATTATATTTTTAGATTCATTTTACTATGGAGATATTAGCTTGTAGGCGACCAGTTTTAGTATGTATTTTAAAAAACCGTAAATTGATTAAGAAATGTAATACTCATAGTCACAATCAACAAAGAAATATGAGTCACATTACACAAAGGCGAATGAACAGTAATCCATTATTCAGGATACATAATCCACAGCTATCTAGAAATTTTACAGTTATGCGTGTTTTAAGTTCATTGTTAAAAATACGATATTTGTTTATATCCGGTGCCATTGGTAGTGGTGTAGCTGTTTCTAAAGTAAAGATTATGTTTTATTTATATTTGCTTTAATCTATATAATTGGTATGTTATGTTTTAGAAATACCAAGAAATCATGGATTCATTACCTGATCTTCATTGGATTAAAGATGTTTTACCAGATGATAAACAACTAAAAATTATTCAAGATTCATTAAATTCAATTTTTGATGATATGAAAAATGTTAATTTGGGTAAGATTAAAAGATTGATTACGTTTACAATGGAAGAACTTAAATCTGTTATTAGTCTGAGGTATTTATGTTAGATCATACAAACAGTTCTTGTATGTTGTAGTCTCTTCAGACCAATTGGATAAATTTAAGACCTGGTTTGAGTTTCAAATTGATAAGGCAAATAAAGATGCCGAAAGAACTAATTCAGAAGACAAACGTGAGTTTTTAGTTGTGAGAGAAAAATTATTTACTATCTTAATTTTCAATTATCTATAATAATTTTAGTTTTTTGTCATAGTATAACTCTTTTTTTACTTTTTTATAATTTTTGATGTATGAACTTTGATATATATTATACCTTAAACAAAAACAATATAAGTTCTTACACACATTTTTTTAGATTTACTTTTATGTGTTATAGTAAGTTTTTAATTATTCTATTTATTCAAATTTGGCCAGTGTGCAATTTTTCATACATCACAGTTTAATTTTTGTTACTTATTTAGGTTCTTCCATTTTTAGTTTTTACGATATATCATATCAAATAATATTAAATATGTTATTTAAATTAAATTAATTTCTAATAGTATTTTTTTAGACTTTTAATAAATTTATTTTAAATTCCAAGCAAAATAATAAAAGCTTTGATTTTAAAATTATGTTTTTTCTTTTGTAAACATTTCTGGTTGTAAACTGGTAGTTAAAGTATTTTAAAAATATTGCACATACAAAGATAATAATCTAAGACTTAATTAAGACTGGTAATTTTTCAGTAGATATAAATTTAAATCTTATAAAATAAAAACAAAAGGATTCAACATGGTTTTTTTTTTTTAATCAATATGTATCTAAACATTGAATCTAGTATCTTATTGACCTTTTTATTATTTTAGGTGAAATCATTATAAAGGTTAGTCCTAAAATTGAAGCTAAAGAGGTATCTTCAGATTCTAGAGAAAAAATTGGTAAGTTTCTATTTATATTTTCATTAACTGTCTAAATTAGTAATTCATTTAAAAATGTATTAGATAAGTTACAACAAGAAATTATTGAAATGCAGTTAAGATATCAAAAAGAATTGGAAAAGCTAGAGAGAGAGAATAAAGAATTACGAAAGACACTTTTACTTAAAAATAATCAAAAAGTTAATTTACGAAAAGTTAAAGTAATTTAAAATATTTTATTTAAAAAATATATATTTATATATCACATAATAAAAAAAAATATGATTTCATTTGTTTAGAAATCTTTGATAGACATGTATTCTGAATTGCTAGATGAATTGAATGATTATGATTCAAGTTACCAAACTCAAGATCACTTACCTAGAGTCATTGTAATCGGAGATCAAAGTTCAGGCAAAACATCAGTTCTAGAAATGATAGCGCAAGCGAGAATATTTCCTAGGTATATAATAAAAAATTTAAAATGTATTGGAAATACTTTACAACATGGGTATTTATAATATATTTATAGAGGCGCTGGAGAAATGATGACAAGAGCCCCTGTTAAAGTAACACTTAGTGAAGGACCATATCATGTAGCACAATTTAAAGACAGTGGTAGAGAATTTGATTTAACTAAAGAGTCTGAATTAGCTGAACTTAGAAAAGAAGTAAACATATATATCTTAATTGGAACTTATCAACAATATTATTCTTAGTATTAAATTTAATCATAAAAAAATTAAATAGGTGGAAATAAGAATGAAAAATAGTGTAAGCCGTGGAAACTCTGTGAGTAATGAAGTTATTTCTATGACAGTCCGTGGTCCGGGACTTCAACGAATGGTTCTTGTTGATCTACCAGGCATCATAAGTGTAAATTATAATTTTTAAATTGCTTTAAAGTGGTTGTTATTGATAAGTTAATAATTTTTATTATTAGAGTGTGACCCAGGGCATGGCACCCGACACACGGGAATGCATTCGTCAAATGTCTACATCATACATGTCAAATCCTAATGCCATTATTTTATGTATTCAAGATGGATCTGTTGATGCAGAAAGAAGTAATGTAACAGATTTGGTGTCTCAAATTGATCAACAAGGTCGACGTACAATTTTAGTGTTGACTAAAGTTGATATGGCTGAAAAAAATATGGCTAATGCTGACAGGGTATGTGAAGACGTTTATTTAAACACATTAATCATTTGAGTAAGTAGTTAAAAATAATTTTTTTTTCTTTTTATAGATTAACAAAATTCTTAATGGAAGTTTATTCCCTATGAAAGCATTAGGTTATTTTGCTGTTGTAACCGGTAAAGGCAATCAAGATGACAGTATCGATAGTATCAAAGAGTATGAAGAGAAGTTTTTTAGAAATTCAAAACTTTTTAGGTATGTCAAATATTTAACCATTTTGCAATAAATTTTTTTTTTGGGGAGGGGAGGGTAATTATTAAATCCTCTATGTTGCTCAATTACCTACCTATTATTAAATATTGGTTGTCACAATAAAATAAAATCTTTTTCATTGTAATAATTTATTATTATAATCTTAATAATCAAAATACTACATAAATACATTTAGGCTTAACACACATGGTTCACTTTTGAGCGTTTTTTTTTTGTGGTTATACGGTCGCTGGAACGAACACTTTTGAACCACTTTCTGGTGGTCCAGCAGTCATTGACGTAACCACATCACAACCACAAATAATATAATAATATATGACCTATCTAGACCTTACCTACTGGCCACTGTAAAAATGGATTCCGACGAAGAAACTCTGTTGTTAACACTTTTGTTACGCAGAAGACGTCGTCAGAAACCAAGACAATATTGGATTAATCCCATTATTGAAAATCGAGATGGAAGTCAGTTTTATTTGTTGTACAATCCCTTAAGAATGTATGATGATAAAATTTTTAATTACTTCAGGATGAGTATAAGTACTTTTCATTATTTGTTAAGTGAGCTAACTGAAAGCATACAACAAAGCGACTCAACCACGAGAAATTGTATAAAAGCTGATGAACATAGATATTTGTTGAGTAACAACTCAACTGATAAATAATATGATAACTATCTATATATACACTAATAATATCATGCTGGTGTGTCGCTCAACCACCGACTGGTCATGATTTTGTGGGTGATACTGGCGACACGATGGGACTGCCGTCGGAAAGTGGTCTATTTGTGTTTTTCATATTATTTTACATGTAATTAATATATCACCCACGAACAACCACCGTTTTGTGTTTCTAGTGTGGTTGTAAAGTGACCCGTGTGTTTAGCCTTAATTATTATATTATTGGAATTTATTATTTAATTTATTTATTAAAATTTATTGTAATTACTAGGGCTTGAGACTTCTAAGTGTTTGCATGTTTTTTAATAATCATTAAAAACATAGCTAAGTAATATAGAAATTTGTTTCATAGCAATACAAGTTTATATTTTGCATATTTGATCATTCTTCATTTTGTAAGTGAATATTTGAAAATTATTTAAATGAAGGAATAGGTTTTTTAATTTTATAAAAAAAAATTATGGATTTATCTCTTCGTATATCACTGAACTTGAAACCCATACTAACTGAATCTATTAAAATAATTAAAACTACAAAATAACATATACATTCTGTAAACATTTAAAGATCTTCATAGGCTAAAGGAATTTATGACAAAATTAAAAAAAGTTTTGGAGAAAAATATTGAATTTGATCAATTACAAAAAATATTGAACATTTTAAATGGAAAAAATAAATCTATTGACGGATTGCTTGCAGATACTAGTAGTAGTGAACTACCATTTTTTAAGTTAGCACCAATAAGTTTCTTAGACATGGAACGTTTCTTTCCTAAATATAAAAATATTTTGGCTAACTGGCGGTCGTTCAAATTGCCCATCTTAAGAAAATATCTTATAGTCCAATGTAATGCTCAGGGTAATTAGTACTAGAAAAAAATGTATTCAGTTTAATTTTTTTTGTTTTAGACCAAAAAACTCAATACAGTGTGTAATCGCTAACTATGTATAAGATGAAAACAAATCTGAAAAATAAAAAATAATTTTCTCAGATCATCTTATCTATCTTACCTAAAATGTTTATTATTATTTATTTCTAATTTAAATTTTTTATTTAATTAATTACTACAAATGTAATTTTTTTTAAAAATTGATTTTTTAGGGCAAAAATGCATGCATATCTTAAGGTTTTTATGGGCATGATATTCCTAGACCTAGTAATTACAATAACTCATTGTATTCTTATACAAAAATAATTCAAGTGAAAAATACTCTTATAAATTTAAAATGTTGGGTATTTTAAAATGATTAAAATATAGTCACTCACACTCTGTACCTTTTTAATTTTTTATTATTACTGTTCTATAGAGAATCTATTGGTATATCATCTCAATTAACAACACGCAACTTAAGCATGGCTGTTGCAGACTGTTTTTGGAAAATGGTACGTGAAACTGTTGAACAGCAAGCAGATTCATTTAAAGCCACAAGATATAATTTGGAAACGGAATGGAAGAATAATTTCCCCAGGTTTTTAAAAATTTTATGACATGTCTTAATTTATGAATTTTATTTTTGCTTTTATTTTTAGAGACTTGGAATTAGACAGAGACGAATTATTTGAAAAAGCTCGTGGAGAAATTCTAAACGAAGTAGTAAGCCTTAGTCAAGTATCCGTCAAGGATTGGGAAGAGAAGCTCCGTGGAGAATTATGGAAAAGCATTTCTCACTATATATTTGAACATGTTTATTTGCCAGCTGGCTATTCGGTGAATCAAACCAACAGTAGTGGTAAGGATAACATTTTGCCAGTGTTTTATTTCAATTCCAATCCAACTTTGAAAAATTATTTATATAAACTATTTTTTTAGCAAGCTTCAATACAATGGTTGACATCAAATTAAAGCAATGGGCAGAGGAGCAGTTACCCAAAAAATCAATAAATATTGGTTGGACTGTGTTAAAAGACATGTTTAAAAGAATGTTAGAAGAAAACCAAAATTCTTCTGATAACATTTTGGACACTTTAAAAATGGCTGTTATTGATGAAGCCTTGGAAAGACATTCTTGGGATGATAAGGTGGTTATAAATAATAATTTTGTGTAAATTCAGATTAGTGATTTATATAAATGTATGAGTTTACTAGGCACTGTCAACGTTGAGAGTAATACAATTAAATGCCCTAGAAGATAGATGTATAAAAAACAAACATAATTGGGATGAAGCTGCACAATTTTTTATCAGTAGCTTGGAACAAAATCTAAAAGTAGGTTGATTGTGTATTAAATATTTATTTTTATTTTCATTGTGTATTTATTTTTTTATTTTATTAAGCTTACTGAAGATTTACTAAAAACAATGGTTGGCCCTTCAAATTATGAGAAATGGTTTTACTGGAAAAGTTCAACCGCTGATCAAACAAAAAGAAATAATATCAAATCTGAACTAGAAAATTTATTGAATTCTAATCCAGTAATTATATTTATTGAATTATTTATTATAAAATAATCATAACTGTGTATAAATACCATGTTTAGGATCATAGCAATTTGTTAACTAAAGATGAACAGATCACTATAAGCAACAACTTGAAACAAAGAACTGGACAACCATGTGAATTAGATGATATTTGGGAAACGTGGTATTTGGTGTATAGACGTCATTATTTTAAAACAGCTTTAGATAATGCGCAAAATTTAAAAAAACAATTTTATCTCTATCAAGAATCGAGTAGCTCACAGGTGTACAATTTAACTACTCTATATCATCTTAATATTTGAGTATGATTTAATAAGTGACCTAAACTTAGTTTATTGTATTTATTTAGGGCGAATATTATGAAATTGAATTGTTTTGGAGGATAACACGTATGATCAAAGACACCGCTAATGCTTTGAGGCAACAAATTACAAACAGAGAGGGTATTTTTCATAAATTTAAAATCACTTATAAAAGAGTAATTTTTGTTGTTGTTGCAGTGAGACGTTTGCATCAAGAAATAAAAGAAGTTTTTGATGATTATAATCAAAGTCAAGATATGAAATCCAAATTGTTGACTGGTCGCCGTGTAACTCTAGTTGAAGAACTCAGTAAGTATTGAATGTTATATGTAGTTCAGAATGTTAACTTACAGTAACATAGCAAAAAAATAACTTACTGAGTATAAAAATGCATAAAATGCCTCTGTGTTCTCAAAACATCAGATCAATTAAAAATTAATTAAATTAATTAAATTTAAATTATATTTCAATATATTTAATCAAGAGACTCATTGTAGAATGCTATATATTGTGTTATTATTTATATTGTTATTTTTTCAATTACTAAGTATAATAAAAAAAAAAAAAAATTAAAAGCATCCTCTAACTAAATATCTTACAGTACAAAGTATGGTTAATTAGTGTACTGGTAATTTTATTTTTCAGATAAAGTAAAATTAATCCAAGAAAAATTAGAAGATTTCATTCAAGCACTTAACAAAGAAAAATAATATGTTATTCCATTCTCAAATTAGATTTATTTTCTTTATGGAAGATGTATACTCTTATTTCGTAAATATATTTAAAACTTGAAATTGTTTAATTTGATTTATGTGTGGTTTTTGTTTTATTTTGTTATTTTGTTTACATTTTAAGAGTTAAAAAGTAGCATTTTAAATACTCATGTTATTTAGTAATAATTATTATAAGTCTATAGTAGTGTTTTTCTAAATTAGATGTATTGAATATTAAAAAACTATTAATTTAATTTTATGAAGTTGATAATAAATGAGCAGTGCTAGTATTACTTATAAAAAATTAGAAAATATATCTAGGGTGATTTTGTTTTGGGTGGTGTTTGTGTGATATCTAGTCCAGTAGTGCGCAACCTGGGGGTCGCGAAATTTTATTAGGGGGTCGCCAGTAATTTTACACCTAATGAAAAAGTTTTATACTATATATATTATTTTATAGTTTTATACAAAATAAAATTATTTTGTACCGCCAATGGTTGTGTCAATCGTAATATTATATCATATCTTAACGTTGCGATAACAAGTTCTATCGAATCACGCAGTATATGGGTTATTTTTAAATTGAATTTAATCAGTAATTTTATTTAATCTTAAGGTTATTATGAAATAGTCCGATAGTCATGTACGAGTCGTTGAGTTAATCCTATTAATGCTTATAATTTTGTATAGTTTGTAATAATTATTTGTATTTAGTATTATTTTAAACTAATATTTTAATATTTTATAATATATAAACTAAAACATCGATATGGATAAATTTTTAACTAAACGACCGTTAAATAGTGATGATGAAAGTGTTATAGAAACTGAAAGGTATCAGAAATGTCGTCAGATGTAAAAACCAGTTGAGAAAGTTTGAACCAAAAAGTAAATAAAAAGGACCGTAAATACCAAGACAGTTACATAAAGTTTGGATTAACTTACGTTGTTGAAAAAGGTGAGCCAAAATGTGTTATTTGTTTAGAAAGATTAGCTTCAGAAAGTATGAAGCCATCAAAGCTAAAACGACATTTAGTAACTAAACATCCTCAATTCCAACATAAAGAGGAAGACTTTTTTAAAAAGTATGAAAATTCGATAAAAGTTCAAAAAAATACTATGCATAATTTTACTTCAGTACCTATAAAAGCTCTAGCTGCGTCATTAAAGGCTTCATATTTAATTGCAAAAACCAAAAAACCACACTCTATTGGTGAATCCCTCGTTTTGCCAGCCGCTATAAAAATAGTATCAATTATGCATGGTGAATCATATGCAAATGAATTAAAAATGATTCCCTTATCAAGAGATACTGTGTCACGTCGAATTGAAAATAAGTCTGATAATATAAAATCACAACTCCTAAATAGATTACGAGGAAATTATTTTGCAATGCAATTAGATGAATCTACGGATATAACTAATCTTGCTCAACTTCTTGTATATGTTAGATATATTTATAAAGATAAAATTGAAGAAGACTTTTTATTTTGTCAACCATTAGAAGGACGTACAACTGAAAATGATATTTTTGTTCTTATAAACAATTTTTTAGAAATTAATGAAATTCCCTGGTCAATGTGTGTGTCAATATGCATTGACGGCGCAGCTGCCCTTACTGGTTCAAAAAAAGGTTTTAAAGCTAAAGTTCTAGAAGTGTCTTCAAATATAAAGTTTAACCATTGTATGATTCATAGAGAAGCTTTAGCTTCTAAAAAACTTCAACCAGATGTTAACAAAGTACTCCTTAATGCTATAAATGTAATAAATTTCATAAAATCAAAGTCATTAAATTCCAGAATTTTTACTATACTTTGCAATGAAATGGGTTCTGACCATGAAAAATTGCTTCTTCATACTGAAGTAAGGTGGTTGTCTCGTGGTAAAATATTATCACACCTTTTTGAACTCAGAGATGAAGCACGAATTTTTCTTCTGGAACGTAATAATACACTTTCAGAACATTTTTTAGACGAGCAATGGCTTGCAATTCTGGGTTATCTTGCAGATATATTTGAAAAACTAAATTGTCTAAATTTAAGCTTACAAGGGAAGAAAAATAATATTTTATTTCTTTCTGATAAAATCAATGCTTTTAAAAAGAAAATACTTCTGTGGAAAAATTATATCGACGATGACAAATTTTAAATGTTTTCATGTTTATCAGAATTCCTCAGTGATAATGATGTGGATATTAATATGATAAAAGAAATTATAACTACTCATCTAATAAGTTTACAAACAAACTTTAATGCACGATTTGAAGATTTCCCAGAAGAAAGTCTAGGTTGGATAAGAAATCCATTTCATTTTAATATCAATGAAATAAAATTAGGAAATTTAAAAATAAGCGAAGAACTTATTGACTTGTCATCAGATGAAAATCTACGTATCAGATTTCAAGAAAATACATGTGATACATTTTGGATTTCCATCAAATCTGAATATCCAGAATTATCAAAACAAACAATATCAATTTTACTTTCTTTTGCATCAACTTATTTATGCGAAACAGCATTTTCAACACTAACGATAATTAAAAACAAATATCGCTCCAGATTAAATGTTGAAGCTGATTTATGAGTAGCAGTGTCAAATATCAAACCAAACATAGAATCAATCATGTCTACTATGCAAGCTCAGGTCTCTCATTAAAATAATTAAATAGTAATTTTAAAATTTTAAAAATATTAAAATTTTAAAAATATTAAAATTTTGATTATCATTATAATAATACATTTTTTAATTTTAGATTTTATAAAACTTTAAATTTGTATTTTTTTCATGTTTTTGATTAATTAAATTAAAGAAATATTAAAATTGCCTAAAATTAACGATTTAATGTATATGAATAAAACGTGTGTACACATTAAGACTATCAAGTAAATTTATATTATACACTTACATAATGTTGGCAGGAAGGGGGGTCGTATTATCAAAATAAATAATTTTGGGGGGTCGTGGATCAAAAAAGGTTGCGCACCACTGATCTAGTTGGTAAATACCAAAAGCTTTAAGTAATAAATTCGATATTGTTCCACTTCAAGATATTTCAGTGATAATCGTACCAACTCTACAATAATTTATTATCGTAATATTATATTATAATTAATTGGACCATTACTGTCACTTGTCACATAACGCATACCTACATGTGTGTCCCCTTGTCCTTACTGCAAAATACCTGCGGGTACGGAACAATGGCTGTAACACGATTGTACCCGTCCTAGGTACCTTTTTACATGAAAAAAACACAACATGATTGCGCCCAGCTAATTATCTCGATAGCACCCGGTTTTACCTTTTTACCTGCAAAAAACGCAACACGATTGCGCCTAGCAAAGTGACTCCATGAAATATAAGGTCTTGCCTTTCTAACAATTTTCAAATATACTACCTATTTAAAAATACAATCGTAGTGCAAAACTCAAAGTTTAAGTTTAAAATGTTTAAAAATTAATAATATTTTTAAACCAGTATGTGAGACTATGCCTGATGAAACAGTAAGTATATTATACTAAATATCTCATTTTTCTAAAAATAAAAAAAAGGTTTAAATGTGAATGAAATATATTTATTATTTACACTTCTATAGGATGCAAAAAGAGCTGTTGGTGTTTCTGGCATATCTCAATTTGAAAATGTTGGCTCTTCTTGTTCAAGAGATGTTTTCAATTATTCAGGGGACTCTAATAATGAGCACTTGTTTAAAAGACCAAAATCAAATAAAATTAAACATTTTTTTTAGTTTCATCCAACCCAAGATTTTATTAAAACTGAACAACAATCATTTAACTATAAGAAAATTTTTTTTCGGCCTGATGATAGTTTACGTTATTGGCTTACTTATAATGAAAACAAAAAATCCTTTTTTTGCTGAATATGTTTGGAATTTGCAAGAAGTAATGACGAAAGCAAGTTTATATCAGGAATGAATGGTTTTAAACATTTGTATCGTAGAATTAATGATCATAAAAATAGTAGAAATCATTATTATTGTGTTGATACTTATATGATGCATACAAAAAAAAAAAGTATTGATGTTATATTATTTAAAAATCAACTAACTAAGAGAATGAAAGAAGTTTTACACCATAGAATGATTTTTCAAAGGATTGTAGATATTATTAAGTTGATTGGTACACGTGGCTTAAGTTCTCGAGGAGTATATGAATCAGCTAAAGACTTGGCTAATCCAAATGTCAGTCATGGAAATTTCCTTGATATATTACTATTATTAGCCAAATATGAGTCATTGGATGAACATTTTAAATTAGTTATAAAAAGAGCAAGTGACAACAAAACTCCTGGAAGAAATCAAAATTTAACTCTTCTATTAAAAACATTAGCTAACTATGTTATTAAATCAATTTCAATACTAATAAAAAAACAAATTATTATTTTAATTAAATTAAATTAATAATTAAATTAAATAGATATTAAAATGTCTGGTTTGTATTCTATTCAAATTGATACAAGCCAAGATGTATCTGTAGCTGATATCTGTTCAGTTATAGTAAGATGTATTGTATGTATGTATGTATTTTCAACTTATAAATCTGGAGTAGAACCTACTATACATGAAAGAGCATTGTCATTTTTAAATCCAAAAAAAACTACTGGTCAAGCACAATGACGTTTAAAAAGATTTTTATCTAAGCATATTTTCCTTGTAACTGCTCGATTTTCAAAATTTCGTTTAGTCTTTCTTCGACTATCTATGACTACCTTTGCATAATTTGATTGATTTGTTGACTGAAACTTCTAACACTTTTATAAAAATTAAAAAATAATTTTAATTTCATGTTTTTTAAATATTTCCAGAAATGATTCTTGTTTTTTAAATTAACTATCATTTTTTTCGAAAAACCTAAAGCAAAAATTTACAGCCAAATCATGCCTCATATATTGATATTTTAATCCTAGAATGCAATGATCTATATTCCATAACTGAACGAATTTCGTATTCAATTTTATATGTTTCCTATCAGTGGCGTTCTCAGGAATTTTCAATGGGGGGGGCTCTGAAAATTTACTAGAATATAAAAGTGGGGGGCTCTGCCCCCACACCCCCCATAGTCATAATAATTACAAATTTTGTATTGTTTTAAAAACCACATTATCCCAAATTATCACCAAATTGTTAAATTGATAGCGCGGTCGTGTCATAGAACATGTTCTATAGTCGTACTCCAATCCAACTTGATAATCGTGATACTGGTAACTAATGACGTATAAACTAAATTATAATCAATAAAATCAATAATCAATTATTATTAAACTAGTGAAATAATTTTAAAAAAGTAAGGCCAATGGGGGGGGTTCAACCCCCCCCTGTGAGTACGCCACTGGTCAAGCATTATGTGATTTAATATCAAATAATTTATCAGATAATTCGATTGATGTTAAAAAATGCATTGGAAGTTCAACTGATGGTGCATCAAATATGATTGGACAATATAATGGTTTTTCTAAATGGCTAGAAAAAGAATATCCTAAACAACTCCATGTGTGGTGTTATGCTCACTGCCTTAATTTAATCATCATAGAAGCTACAGCAGTTTCAACTCCAGTTATATCATTATTTGGTCTGTCTATTAATTAGTTGTGCTGTATTTTTCAGAGATTCACATAGACGAATGGATTTATAGCGTGATTTATCATCAGATAGTCGTGTATTAAATTTAATTGAACAAACCAGATGGTGATCTAAAGATGCTGCATTGAAAAAAATGTTTGGTTCATTTAATGAACCTTCTCATTCTTTATATGTAACAGTAATAAAAATTGTTTCTATCATTTCATCAAAAAAAGAAGATTTGAATAATGCGATTATAGTATTACAATGTCACTGTTGCAATCTTTAACAAAATTTGAAACAATTTTTACAGCACAATTATGGTGATAACCAAAATGAAACTGTCATTGAAACTGCTATTGACTTGTTTAAATTTAATGTTCATAATACAGTGATGGATACAGTTATTTGTAAACTAGAACTACGTTTTGCTAAACACGCTGAAATCTGTTCAGATTTTACATGCTTAGATCCTCGTCAATTTTCAAAACCATTACCCACAACTGCTCTTTTCAAACTTAGTGAAGTTCTTGGATTAGAAAATACTTCTATTTTAAGGGAAGAATTTATCTATTTCTAGATTTTACCAAAAAATGGGATAAGCTAAAATTAAATTTACCTGAAGTATATGCAAGTTATAGAAGTGATGAGGAAAATAAACTTCCAGAATTAGATCTAGAAAGTTTGCATGAAAATAAGTTTGAACAAAATCAATGCAAAACAAACAATGTAATATATTAATTGTTTTTATATTATATTATATTTCAAAAATAAATAACTCGTGACAAAGGCTAGTCAAACACTTAACACAATATTTTTTTTTTATTGAAGAGGCAGTGGCGTAGCCAAGGGGGGGGGGGCTAAGGGGGCTATAACCTCCCCCATGGGCCGTTTTTATATGTTATTATGTTTATATTATACTATTTAATAGAATCAATGCTCGTTTTAATCAAAGGCTTATTGATGTTATGCCACTTGAAGGACTTATTCCGGCCAATTTAAATATGTATGACGATAAAAATATTATAAAAGCTGCTAAAATATATGTCCAAGATCTCCATGATGATACCTCATCTACAATCAGAGCTGACCTGTTCATATGGAGGCAACAATGGAGTCAAAATACTATTCCAAAACCGAATTCTGCTCTTGATTCACTCTCTCATCGCACCAATCTTCGACCTAACATTAAAATACTTTTACAATTATTCTCCAGTTACCTCTTTCACTCCGAAAAGAACGTTTTCAGCACTTAATCGCTTAAAATTTTTTTTAAGAAACACCATGTCGGAAAACAGACTGAATGGGTTAGCTATGGCTAATATAAATAAAAAAGAGCAATTCGATGAAAATGAAATAATAGCTGAATTTGCCAGAAATTCGCCTAAGAGAATGCAGCTGTCAGAGTGGAGCAAGTGACTGAACACTGAAACCAAAATTATTATTATTATTATAAATTATATATCAATAAATATTTTTAAAACTATACTAAAATGCTTAAATTACGTTTAGAAACTTGGTGGTAGATGGTGGGGGGTTAAGGGTCAATTCTCATATCCTCTCTTACTTTACTTATCCAAAAAAAGTGGTTAGCCCTCTCCCCCCATTTAAAAATCCTGGCTACGCCACTGTGAGGGGGGAACTTATAATATTTATTTCCTTCTTATAAATTATATTTTTAGATAATTCACTATTAACTAATAAACTAACATTTTTTTTTTATTATTATATGATAGAGCTTGTTCCCTTGTGTTCAACTATGTGGCTGGTCAAAAGAAGTGAGGCCGGCAAAAAAATATAATTTCCCGGTACACATTTTGGGGCTAGTCCAACCCTGGAAACATATTATAATATAATATTATGTTTGCATACATATTATTTATGCAAACATAATAGGTAGTGCGATTTCTGAGTTTTCGTGTACATTTATTGCTGGAAAATAAGTTGATGATAAAGATGTCATTTCACTTGACATTCCTACAGTAATCGATTCATCCATTTCAAT